ATGATTTTGGGGGAAGTGAAATTATTCCATATTCTATTAGATACTGTAATGGTGGATACCCATCATTATACATTTGTCAAAACTTATGGATTGTGCACCACCAAGAGTGAACCCTAATATAAACTGAACTTTGGGTGATAATGATGTATCAATGTAAGTTCATTGATTGTAACAAATATACTGGTGCAGTGTTGACAATGGGGGAGGCTGTGCATGTGTGCGGTAAGGAGGTATGTGGAAACTACTTCCTGCACAGTTTTGCTATGACCCTAAAGCTGATCTAAAAAATAAAGTCAATTTTTTAAAAAAGAAAGAAACGCTATAGCCTTTAGCTATAACCCCCACCCCATCCTCACATCCCACCAAACTCTAAGCAACCACTAATTACTTTGTATTTCTTTTGCATAGTACAAAGTACTTGGCAAGGTACTAGATGTATGTATGTATTATTTTTTTATTTTTTTAGATTTTTTTTTTTTTATTGGGGATGGGGAACAGCCAAGTTGTCCTTCAGTCTTAGTTGTGGAGGGCACAGCTAGCTTAGCTCCCAAGTCCAGTCTCCCATCCGGCCACCGTCGGCAGCTCAGGGCAGTGTTCAATCTTAGTTGCACGTGGGTGTTGCCCACCATCCTGTGCGGGAGTTGAACCGGCAACATTGTTGTTAGGAGCACATGCTCTCACCAGCCGAGTCATCCTGCCACCTGTCGGCAGCTCAGCTCAGGCGCAGCTCACTGGCCCATGTGGGAATTGAACCAGCAACCCTGTTGCTCAGAGCTTGTACTTTTTTTTTTTTTTTTTTTTTTTTTTTAGCTGAGCCATCCTGCTACCTGTTGGCTGCTCAGCTCGGGCTGGACTCGAACTGCTGTTGCTCAGAGCTCAAACTCTCGAGCGAGCTCTTAACCAACTGAGCCACTCAGCCGGCCCTCAGAGCTTGTACTCTTAACCAACTTAGCCACTCAGCCAGCCCATAGATATATGTATTATTAATAATAATAGTTGCCATCTATTGAGAGCTTAATATGTGCAAACAATTATATCATCTAATGTAATCTTCATGACAACTCTATCAGGTTGACATTTATTGTCATCTCAAAAGTGAGGATGTTGAAGTTTAAGACGGGTTAAATGACTTGTAACAAACGTGTAGCCAATAAATAGTCAAACTGCCATTCTATCCCAGGTCTCTAATTCCCAAACTCATGACACCTATTGCTACTAAACTGAATTTTTGAAGCTATACAATCTCTATGAGAAATTCTGCTACGATATTTTTAAGTGTAGTGGGAATGCTTAAGTTGTTTAGTTTTGTTAGCTTGCTCGTGAAATTTGCCACATGTTTCACATTCAATCTAACTATTCTGCAATATGTATGGTTATACTTTCCTCTTTTATACTAACCTTCCTCTAAAGTTTGTGTTTTGCCTTAGTAATTCCTATGTCAGTGAGTTTTGCTTTCATTTTACCAGTGATGAATTTCCTGCTATTGTAGGAAGATTGTAATCCCTTTATCGCAGTAAATCTTACTCATATTTGGACATCTACTTACTTGGACATTTAAGCTTTTTTTTAATCTCTTAGTTTTTGTAATTATAAAAGTAACACTGAACATAATACAGTTATGTAAGAGGAGGTAGTATATTTGTATGAATATAGAAAATCTAATGTATAAAATTTAAATTTTAGAAAAGCTACAGAGCAGTATATTTCATATGATCTCCTATATCTCATGTTTGAAACAAACTATATGTATTTGATATGTATATCCTAAAAATTCATAGGTAGTATCTGGAAAGATATAAAAGAAACCCCTTAGAGTGTGACTATGACAGCCAGGATAAGAGGAGAGGGACTATATACCTTTCTGTTTTGTTTGAATGTTTTTTCCATTTTTAAGTTTCTCCAATCTTCTCCTACCCTCACCTTTGCCTTTGTTTTCCTTTCACTCCTTTTTTTTAGAAATTTTTTATTGGGGAACAGTGTTTTTTCAGGACCCATAAGCTGCAAGTCAAGTAGTTGTCTTCAATCTAGTTGTGGAGGGTGCAGCTCACTGGCTCATGTGAGAATTGAACCAGCAACCTTGGTTCCTGTGCTCCAACCATCTGAGCTAACAGGCCGCCCCTCCTTTTTTTTTTTTTTAATAGCCTCTTGTGTCTCTCCACATTCTCTTTCAAGCTCACATGAATGTACAGATACAGAATGTGCAGATACATATAAGGAGCTTTAGGAAGTCACTATATTTATAAAAAACAGTATTATACTATAAATATCTTCCTGGAACTTGCTCTTCTAACTATGGGCACCTGTTTCTACAGGTAGATCTAGCTAGTTCTTTCTTTTTAAAAATCCAGGTATTTTTATTATTATTATTATTATTATTATTATTATTATATCTCTAATCCGCCAAATTGCCTAGTTCTTTCTTTTTAATAGCTGTGTACTATGCATACCTTGATGTAATTGGCTCCTATTGGTGGAAGTTGTTGATTTTTTTTTTTTTTGCTATAACAATGCTGCAGCGAATATCCTTATACATTTATCTTTGTGCATTTGCGTAATGTATCTGTAGGATATGAATCAGGATTCTATGTATCAAAATTTTTGATTGATACTGCCAATTGTCTACTGTAAAGGTTATACCATTTCAGTAGCATTGTGCACAATGAGAACTCAAATCCTGATCTAAAAAATATCATTCCTTTCCAAAAGGAGCTTAGTAGAATGGCTGGTTCCAGGCCTGTGGCAGGTAAAGGATAAAGTCAGCCTAGGATAGACATCTTGTGCCAATAAAACAGGATGTCCTCAAAGACTAGTGGGGTCTTGTCAAAAGCATACAAAGAGCCAGCTGGAAGAGGCTCTACTGGCTAAATTTGGAACAATTTGAACATCAAGTGAATAATTGCAATCACATTACACTAAATTTTTAAAAATCAATGAATCTCTAGTGATACTAAACAAAGGATGGTAGAGGGAGAGAGTAAAACTTCTAAAAAAAATACTAGCTAATAAATGTAGAAGGAATGACAGTGTTAAAAAACATTCACCATTTTGCAACCTTCAATGTAATATATAAAATGAAATTCAGGCATGGATCATCATGGAGACTAAAACACTAGGTGAGAGGTTGTGGAAGTGTTCTTTGGACGCTACAGATTACTTACTTACCAGTCACAAAGGGAGGAAAAAATAACTTTACACTGGAGAAATTTTGCAGTTGCTAAGTTAACCAAATAATCAAACTTGGCATCACTAATTGGGGTCATTGTGACACATGGTGTCATGTGACACCATTTTATTGCATGCAATAAGAAATCCATTTTACTTACAGAGTATTCATTTCAAAAATATTTCATCTAAACCTAATCAACCCTCACAATTATCTACAGCAGCGCTTCTCAACCTGTGGGTCGCCACCCCTTTTGGGGGTCGAACGACCCTTTCACAGGGGTCGCCTAAGACTATCGGAAAACAAAAAGCTATTTACATTATGATTCATAACTGCAAAATTACAGTTATAGAGTAGCAACAAAAATAATTTTATGGTTGGGGGTAACACATGAGGAACTGTATTAAGGGGTCGCGGCATTAGGAAGGTTGAGAACCGCTGATCTACAGGATTACCCTCTGTAGTTAGAATTGTGGATGATTCTGCTGTATGATCATAGATAGGTTGTGTTAGTAATTTCTCCGGGTCTCAGAGCCCTCATTTGTAAAAGACTGATATTGATCAGATAAATGCATGCAAATAACCTGAACATACTTTGTTTAGTTTGTATAGTTTGTTTATAACTAGTTTGGTGAATAGTGAGAATTTAACATATTGGTTTATCTCAGCTGTCAGAATCTATTCATGGCCACCAAGTATATAGCTGAATGATAATTACATTTTTTTCCCCACAAATAATTTTTAGTCTAATTATTCTATGTAATTTGATGGCATTTTAATTGAATTCTCTATACTTGCTTAGCCCCGTAAGCTAATGAAGCCCTAAGTATGCCAGAAAGCCTTCTAATAATCCCAGATGATCAAGGGAGATTTTACTAGGAGAGCATGGATTACTGTCTTTCTGTACTCTTTAGAAATTTAGATTGACTAGTGTGAAATTACCAATTTTATAGATAAAATGGTCAAACATCAGCAATTTTATGTGGCTCAATCTAAAGCATGCTTTCGTGGTAAAGGTTTAGTACATCATCTTTATTTGGCAAGCAGTCTTTTTTCTCTCATGTTTTAGAGACAGGTTTGCTCAGAGGGGAGAGAGGAAGGATTTGGATTGATCCAAGTTTGAAGGGAATTGTTATGTGGAGTGGTATCCTAATTATCTTAGGATGGCTCATCATTTCATCTCCACTCCCACCCCCATGTATAATAGTTATTCTTTTCAGTCACTTCTTACCTCTTTTCTCTCTCTTCTTTCCAGGTAGTGAGACGTGAGACCAAATGAAAGAACATTTTTCTAGCTCTTATTTTTCCTCAGTTTAAACTCTGGATGGGTCTTTGTGAATACGCAGTTGCAGAATTTTCAGAACTTGAGAGTTTCAGTTTCTTTGGTTCTTTTCTAAAGATAGCACTTAGAAATAATAATGTACCTTTTTTTTTTTAACCCTTGTTACTCATAGAGTATGGAAGGTATGACAGATTGGGGAATTTCAAGTGGATTTTCTTTTATAGAACATAAACAATGAAATAATACACCTAAGAGATTGGGAAGGAAAGTTTCAGACTCTGAAGGGAGTACTGAAGTTATCACTTGGATGTGGTCTTTATAACACGGGCCATAATTGTATTCCCATAACAAAGTGACTTATCTTCTTCAAAGGATGTGTTCTGGGCAAATGTGTATACTTTCAGCATTTCCTCAAACAAGAAGAAATAAATTCATTGGAGGACCTTTCCTCTTAAGGAAATGTGGTCAAGCCTGTATGCCAATAGCTTTATTAAAATCCTTAGTTGTTGGCAAGCCAAATTATCACCAGTGTAAAAATTATTGTTTGTGTCCTAGACAGCTGCTCAGGAAGCAATCCTGCATGCATCTGGAAATGGGACACTTTTACCATCTAAGGACTACTGTATGTTATATAACCCTCATTGGACAGCTCTTCCAAGTACCTTAGAAAATGCAGTAAGTAAATCACAGTTACTATTTGTTTGTAAGCATAAAAATATTGAAAGGTGAAAATGAGTGATTATTATGTTTTACTGTACGAACTAGTTATAGTATCTGATACTAAATTTTATTGCTTTTGCTTTAGTGGTGTTTTTTTCTGTGGGAAAAACAAGTTAGGGAATTTTAAAATACCTCAAAGCCTGATTGTCATAAAATATTTCTAATTTTAAAGAACCTTGTATTAAACCAATAGATACTTTGTCACTGAATGCATTTAGGGAGAAATACAGTATTTATCATGTTAAAGACATTTCTTCTTTTCAGACCGCCATTAGTTTGATGAATCTGACTTTCACACCACTGTGCAACATTTCTGATATTCCTCCTGAGGGAATAAAGAACAAGGCAGTTGTGGTACAGTGGGGAACCTGCCATTTTCTTCAAAAAGCCGGAATTGCAAAAAAAGGAGGTGCTGAAGCATTGTTGGTTGCCAATAACAGTGTACTAGTAAGTTATAAAACTATCATAACTTCTTTTGAGCTCATGATAATTTCACAGGTTGAACTCTTCTTTGTGTATGGTTTAGGGGCTGAGTTTTGAATCTTATGGTAGGATTCTTTTTAAATAAGCAGCTTGGTTATGTTAGGTGTTTAATTGGAAAATTTTATAGTTTCTTTTCTATTCCTAAAGTAAATGTGACTTTGTTAGGAACAAATATATATTTATATGTATGTGTGTTATGTATGATATAACTGTATATATCAGTTTGAGAACTTTTACTATAATATTAAGAAAGAACATGGTATCTCATTGTTATAATGAAACCATGTTATTCAAGGACCTGCTATATTTGACTGATGAAAAGCTGAATATATAACAGAATCAAAAGGTAAGGGAGTAGAGATACTGAAGTAGATGTATTATATTTGCATGATATATTAATTATAATAGCAACACTACATAGAGTCTTCTACTAACTTAAAACTGTTACAGTAATGACAGTTGTACAAGTACTTTTTTCTCCTTCACTGGCATAGTTAACATATTTGTACATGCCTGATTATAATATATAATGTGGAGATAGTAAATTATGCTATAGATCAACACTTGATACAAATATGTCATGTGTATGTTTAGTCTTAATTGATTTTCTTTTAATCAACTTTACTGAAATATCATTTATATATACTCTAGACCCATTTTAAGTGTAAGAAAATATTAAGAAAGAACACATGAAACTTTGTTTTATAACTTTAAAAAAGATGTAATATTTATATTTAATGGAATAATTTTTATTTTATTCTGTAAATATATAATAGTAGTTCATATGTTTTCATAAAGTTTTTTCTTTTAGTTTCCTCCCTCAGGGAACAAATCTGAATTTCATGATGTGGAAATACTGATTGCATTTATACAGCACAAAGACTTTAAAGATATGAAGCAGGTAAATTAGTAATTATATATTAGACAAAGTTTATAAATAGTACAGCTCTTTACTTTTTTTTTTTTTTTTTAAAGATTTTATTGGGGAATCAGGGGAAGGGGAACAGATAAGTTGCTGTTGTTTTGTTCTTCAGTCTAGTTGTGGAGGACGTTGCTTCACTGGCCCAAGCTGACATCATCATTGCGCTCTTCCTGGGTGAGGCAGATCAGTCTTCGGCTTCTGGACGGCCGTTCACAGCGGCTGCTGGCCGCTCACTCTGGCTGCTGGCTACACACAGTAGCCCATGGCAACCCACTGCAGCAAGGGCTGCAGCCCATGCCGTCGCCGGTGACTCACGGCAGCCCAGCTCCAGGTCGAGCTGTTGTTCAGCATCTTAGCTTGTATAGAGGGCAGTGTCACTAGCCCTCATACGTGGGATCCGAACACGGGCATTCTGGCGTCCCAAGCCAGCTCTTAACCAATGCGCCACTCGGCCGGCCCCAGCTCTTTACTTTTAACCAATTATATTTAATTTAAATTTTATGTATGCTCCACTTGCTATTAAGCTGTAAAGGAGAGTTCTGGTCAAAATGGCGGAGTAGGTGGAAAAAACACTTAGTAATAAATTCACAGCACCATAGGTAGAGATCTTTTCAGATGTTCAGTTGTGATACTAACATCCTATTAGGCTCCATCTAATCACAGTACATACAATGTCTTATGACTTGAAGTAAACTAATACATTTCTTATTTTCTCAGTATAAGAAAAAAACCAAACTACAATACAAAGACCTATCAAGTCTTTACTTAGAAACTATTCACCTCTCATTCAGCAAAAGGTATTTCTGAGCCCTGACTTTAGAAAGGATATTTGTTTTGACCTCTTTAAAAATCTGTGATTGTGTGGAACACTGCACTTTCAAGATTTAATAAACCAAAGTATAGCCTCATAATTTTGACAAGAGAATATATCATATTGTTAAAAATAGTTCTAGTATTCTTGACTGTCTGATATATAGTATCCATCCCAGAGTGAAATTGGAGTATTGCTGCCATATGCTGTAATGGAAAGAAAACTAATGCCAATTTTAACTCTCCTTTTTTGCCTCTCAGACCCTTGGAGATAATATTACTGTGAAAATGTATTCTCCATCATGGCCTAACTTTGACTACACGATGGTGGTTATTTTTGTAATTGCTGTGTTCACTGTGGCATTAGGAGGGTACTGGAGTGGACTAATTGAATTGTGAGTTTAATTAAACTTTAATGTTTTTGTGATAAATGGTTACAAATTATTGTTTGACAATTATTTTAATCATGTGACAACATTTCATTTAAAATTCTACCTGACCCCAGAATATAATGTTGTTAAGATCAGATTGCAATTTGTCCTCATAAAAGTCATGTGTGAGGTGGTAGCTCATTGTGGTTTTGATTTGCATTTTCTTTTTTTTTTTTTAAATTGGGGAATTGGGGAAGGTGACCAGCCAAGTTGTTGTTCTTCAATCTTAGTTGTGGAGGGCGCCAGTCACCGTCTGGCTGCCAGGCGGCAGCTGATGGCCTCTAAGCTCAAGGTGCTGTGTTCAATCTTAGTTGTGGGTGGGCCACCATCCCATGTGGGAGTCGAACCAGCAGCCTTGCTGTTAAGAGCACACGCTCTATCTACTGAGCCATCTGGGTGGCAGCTCAGTTTAAGGTGCCAAGTTCAGTCTCAGTTGCGGGTGGGCATAGCCCACCATCGAACAGGCAGTCTTGTTGTTAGGAGCATGTGCTCTCACCAGCTGAGTCATCCTGCCACCTGTTGGCAGCCCAGTGGCAGCTCAGCTTGGGCACAGCGTCACTGGCCCATGAGGGAATCAAACCTGCGGCCCTGTTGCTCAGAGCTCGTGCTCTTAAGCTAACTCTTAATCAACTGAGCCACTTGGCTGGCCCGATTTGCATTTTCTTAATGACTTGTGAAGTTGAGCATCTTTTTGCCATTTGTATGTCCTCTTAAGAGAAGTGTCTGTTTAGGTCCTCTGCCCATTTTGGATTTTTTGTTGTTGAGTTGTATGAGTACTCAATATATTTTGGATATTAGTCCCTTTTTAGAGGTGCTGTTTGCACATATCTTTGCCCATTTGGTGGTTGCCTGTTTGTTTTGTTGATGGTTTCTTTTGGTGTGCAGAAGCTTTTTCGTTGGATACAGTCCCATTCATTTTATTTTTGGTTTTACTTCTCTTGCCTTTGAGGTCGAATTCATAAAATCCTCTTTGAACCCAAGGTCCATAAGTTTAGTACCTATGCTTTCTTCTATGCAGTTTATTGTTTCAGGTCTTATGTTTAGGTCTTTGATCCATTTTGAGTTTATATTGGCATATGGTGACGAATATCGCAATCTAGTTTTATTCTTTTGCACGTGGCTTTCCAATTTTCCAGCACCATTTATTGAAGAGGCTTTCTTTCCTCTGTTGTATGCTTTTGGCTCCTTTGTTGAAAATTATTTGCCCATATATATGTGGGTTTATTTCTGGGTTCTCAATTCTGTTACATTGGTCTTTATGTCTGTGTTTCTGCCAATACCATGCTGTTTTGATTACTGTCACTTTGTACTATAATGTAAAGTCAGGGAGTGTGATACTTCCAGCCTTGTTCTTTTTTCTCAGGATTGCTTTGGCTTCCGGGTCTTTTGTGATTCCATACAAATCTGATTATTTTTTTTGTTCTGTTTCTTTTTTAAAAAGTGCCATTAGGATTTTGATTGCATTAAATCTGTATATTGCTCTCAGTAATATGGCCATTTTAACTGTGTTGGTTCTTCCAGTTCATGAACATGGAATGTTTGCATTTCTTTGTGTCTTCTTCAATTTCTTTTAAAAATGTCTTATAATTTTCAGTATATAGGTTCTTCACATCCTTTGTTAATTTTATTCCTAGGTAGTTTATTCTTTCTGTTGCAATTGCAAAAGGAATTGTTTTCTCATTTCTTTTTCTGAAATTTCATTGTTAATATATAGGAACACAATGGATTTTTGTACATTGATTTTGTATCCTTCAACTTTAATGTATTTGTTTATTGTTTATAATAGTTTTTTTGGTGGAGTCTTTAGGGTTTTCTATATAAAGAATCATGTCATTTGCAAAAAGTGACAATTTAACTTCTTCATTCCCAGTTCAGATGCCTTTTATTTCTTTCTCTTTCCCGATTGCTCTGGCTAGGACTTCCAATACTATGTTGAATAACAGTGGTGATAGGGGACAACTCTGCCTTGTTCCTGAATGTAGAGCAAAAGGCTTCAGTTTTTCACCAAGTATGATATTAGCTGAGGGTTTGTCATATATGGCCTTTATTATATTGAAGTACTTTCTTTTTATACCCATTTTATTTAGTATTTTAATCATAAATTCATGTTGTATCTTGTCAAATGCTTTTTTCTGCTTCTATTGATATGATCATATGATTTTTATCCTTTATTTTGTTTATGTGGTGTATTACATTGATTGATTTGCGTTTGTTGAACCATCCTTGTGCCACTGGAATGAATCCCACTTGATCATGATGTATAATCTTTTTAATGTATTGTTGTATACTATTTGCTAGTATTTTGTTTAGGATCTTTGCATCTATATTCCTCAGAGATATTTCTTTTTTGTGTTTTCCTTACCAGGTTTTGGTATCAAGGTAAAGTTGGTCTCATAAAATGAGTTAATAAGTATTGTCTCTTCAATTTTTTGAAAGAGTTTGAGAAGGGCAGGTATTAAATCCTCTTTGAATGTTTGGTACAATTCACTAGTGAAGCCATCTGTTCCTGGACTTTTGTTTTTGGGAGATTTTTGATGATTGTTTCAATTTCCTTGTTGTTGCTTGGGCTATTTAGATTTTTAGTTTCTATTTATATATTTTTTATTTCTAGGAAGATTTATATATTTCTAAGGAAGATTATATATTTCTAAGAACTTGTACATTTCTTCTAGGTTATTGAATTTGGTGGCATATAGTCCTTAACAGTATTCTTGTATGATTCTTTGTATTTCTGTGGTATGTCATAACTTCTCTTTCATTTCTGATTTTGTTTATTTGTGTCTTTTCTCTTTTTTCTTTAGTGTGTCTAGCTAGGGGTTTGTTAATTTTATTAATCTTTTCAAAGAACCAGCTCTTTGTTGTATTAATTTTTTCTATTGTCTTTTTCTCTATTTCATTTAATTCTGCTCTAATTTTTATTATTTCCTTTATTCTGCTGACTTTGGGTTTCATTTGTTCTTCTTATTCTAGTTCTTTAAGATGGAACATTAGGTTGTTTGGGATTTTTCTTCTTTCTCGAGATAGGCTTGTAATGATATAAACTGTCCTCTTACTACTGCTTTGCCTGCATCCCCCAAATTTTGATATGTTGTATTTTCATTCTCATTTGTTTCTAAGTATATTTTTATCTCTCCTTTTATTTCTTCTTTGACCCAGTCGTTCTTTAGTAGTATGTTTCTTAATCTCCACATATTTGTGGTTTTTCTTGCTTTCTTTTCCATTTCATCTCCAATTTCAAAACTTTGTGGTCAGAGAATATACTTGGTATGATTTCAGTCTTCTTAAATTTGTTGAGGCTAGTTTCGTGTTCTAACTTATGGTCTGTCTTTGAGAATGTCCCATGTGCACTAGAGAAGAATGTATAATTTGGTGTTCTGGGATGAAAGGCTCTATAAATGAATTAAAATACTAAAATTTGATTGACTTAGATCAAGAGAGAAATTCTATGGTTTCACAGGTTTAGGCTTCTGGAGTATTGAGCTTTAAATATTTTACGTATTTGGAAAACATGATTCAACATGTATCAGTTACGTTTTCGTGTAAGCTTTTTTTTTTTCTTCCTTATTAGTCTTTATGAAGCAGAGTATGTAAGAAGATTTCCAAGATCATTTTCTAGATTATTTGGTGCAATTTTGTAAATAATGTACCCAAAACTACTGATGGATTAAAAATCTTTTTCCATTTAATATGGATTATCCCTATACTTTCATTACTATTTAAATTGTTTCTTTAGAATAGTGCTTCTCAAACTGTAATGTGCATACAAATTGTCTTGAGGTCTTATTAAAATATAGGTTCAGATTTGGTATTTTTAACAAGTTCCCAAGTGATTTTGCTGATGCATGGATCACACTTTCAGTTAAGTAAGGCAAGCTTCATAAACATGTCAGAGTAGTCGCCTCCTGAAGAAAATTGGGTATTGGAGAGGAGTGTATGTATGTTTTTTATTCATAAAACACCATCATGGGAAGAAACAACAAATGTTTTGCCTTCAGTCTCTAGGTTAGGAGAGTAGTTGTCCTTTACCTGTAGGATTATGGATTTTAAAATTGAGGCAGGTGATTCTAGGATTCTATCTAAAGATAGAAAGAAGTAAATGTATGTGTGTTTGGAGTGGGAGACAATATGAATCAGTGATAAAAAGGAAAATTTTTCATGAAAAGTAGAATTATTAAGAACATAAGGACTATCATTTAGGAAATAAAGAATAAGATTAAAAAAAAAGAGGAAAGAGAATAAGGCTTAGGGAAGGGAAAATTGCCAGAACATAACCCAGAATTACCCTGCCAAATGAAAGGCGCACCTTACGCAAAAGGAAAAGATACCTTGGTTCCATATAAAGATTTTTCAGTAGAGACTTAAAATCTTATAATGAGATCACTGGTCATCAAGCTTCATAAACCCAAGCTTGCATGGAAGAAGGCTTAGCTTCCCTCCCATTACATGTGGCTCTTGAGAGATCTGAGAGTACAAGTTTTTTAAAGGTAAATTGTAGTAGTTTAATGTGATAAAATCTAGTATGCATTTTCCGTTCAAGAAATTGCCTGGTGCTTTTTTGTACACTGAATACAAATATATAAATCTTACATTATTATGGCTTACATGTGTATTATGATAAAAAGGTCTTTAAATGTATCTATTTGTAATGACAGATACCAGAAGTTGGCACGTTTTCCTACTTGGGTATCAGTTTTATTGAAACTTAAGTTAATAATCCTGTCATCCAGCTCTACAGTTTCAGGGAGGTGCTGTTGTGTCTTTCCCTCCTTTTATTCCAGGCAGCCTAACCCTAAAATCACAGATACTTAATGTGGTGGCCATCCCAATCAACAGTTTTCTAATAAAAAAGTGGCATATTGGTAAATAAGCAGTTTGGTAAATTTGCAATTTGATAGAAATAAACTTTTTTTTAAACCTGAGTTTGTATTGAGCCCAGACCCAATGAGAAGGGAACAGAGTTTAGTAGCCAGAGTTAATGGGATTAGAGCTAGAAAAGTATGAAGTGGCTTCCATATAATTGGGAGAAGTTAGTAGGTGACAGAACAGAGACTGCTCAACAAAGGACACTGTGGCTCTTTGCTCTTCAACATCTGTCTCTCTTTTATTAGCAAAGGTTGTTGAAGGAATTAGAAATAATATTTTGCTATCTTAAATCAAGGTAGGACAAAGCTATGTCTTGAATTTCTTTTGAATCCTTCATAATACATTGATGAGCACTGAATAGGCATATAGTAAATAGTGAGTGGATGGGTAGTTTTACATTTAAAAGAAGCTACTTTTAGAAGTACTTTACTATGTGTAAATTGATAATATTAAGTATGTAAGGAAAATTGGTAATTTTCTGAAATGTATTACGTTGGCATAATTTGCAAAGTAGAGTGTATAAACATCCACAAACATTAATTTATTTATACAATAAATGTCATCTGTTTCAACAATTTTGCCTCCAAAAAAAAATGCTGTTTCAAAACTTAGTAGTTAATAACAGGTTATCTCTGGAGGGGAGAATTGTAGGGAGTTTTTACTTTCTGGATTAAATATTTCTTTTTGGTGTGGGTTTTTTTTTTAAGTATATTACTTTATAATCAATAACATTTAAGTTGATGTTAAAGATAGATTTTTTAAAATAGCAGAGATTTCTTTTTTAAGCTCTGTGTCTGTTTATGCAGGGAAAACATGAAGGCAATGGCAAACCCTGAAGATGGAGAAATGAGGAAAAAGAAGGAAGAATATTTAACTTTTAGTCCTCTAACAGTTGTAATATTTGTGGTCATCTGCTGTGTTATGATGGTCTTACTTTATTTCTTCTACAAATGGTTGGGTAAGAAGTCATATTTGATACCTTTAGCATACAATCTTTTCATTTACTTTGCCAGATTTACTTTTTCCTTTAAAGCATTCTATCTGGAAAAATTAAGTGAATAATTAAAACGTGATATTAACTTTTTAAATTGTCAGAAGTGTTAGGTCCCCATTACTCTGGGATAAAAAATATTCAGATTAAAAATATACTGTCTTGCGATAAAAACACTTCTTGATGGATGATTTGAAAGAATTGTTCTGGTTCCTAAATTTCCTTCTCTGCAGATAAAGTATGATAGCCTAGTATCTAAGGAGCAGACTAGGGATTTCCTGGTGGCTATTCATATTATTGATCTATTGCCTCTGCATACCCCTAAAGGGTAGTTTATTCTTTTGTCAGTTTGCAAATCAAGAGGTTGTATTGCTTGAATTTTGTTTTACTTATATAAACAGGATCATACCATATCTAAAGACACATGTGTTTGCCAGTGGTCTAGAGACTAACTGATACTTTTTTTCTATAAGAAGCAGACGTAGGAATTGTAATGGCTTGTTCAACCCCTGGATAGTTTTAATGGTCTTATTGGATGGAAATTTGCCATCCATGGCCAATATACAGCACAAAGAGGAGGTGGTGAGACCAGGGAAAATGGAGCGTGCCTGATGAGAACTAGCAAAAGCCCTTTGTAAAACCACCAAAGGCAACAATGCTTATTTGGAGAACATGAGTATAATTTTCTGGACTAGAAAACTAAGGCCCTAAAGTTGTTTCAGCTTATTCCATTTCTCCTGTCCTGTGGCAGCAATTTAAAAATATGACCTATGACATATCTTTCCAATTAGAAAAAAATCATTCTTTGAATATCACTCAGATTTCAATCTGTTGCTGGTGTGAGTGGGTACTAGGATGATATTTGTATTATGTTGTCATTGAGCAGGTAATTTTTCTATTTTAATAGCCTTCAGTGGTTTGTGTCTGACCCTAAGTCAATGTATTAGTGGTTTCTGATAGAAAAAAAGAGATTCCTCTACCCTAACCTAAAGTATATTTTAATTTTTGATGAGAAATTTCCTTAAACTGATTGACCCTGTTTATAAATGTAATTTTTAACGGAGGAGGAAAATCATTAATCCTCATGGATATCCCAAGACATGGGATTTAATTATGACTAAGAATGTATTGTGTGATATTGGAAGATTTAATTTACCTCCAAGTGATTTCTTAGGGCTAAGAATGCTGCCTTTTCTTAATTAATTAAATAATGGGACTCTACTAAATTGCAAAGATTCCCCTTACCATTTTATGATTGTCATGATCAAGGAATTCAATAAAGAAAGTCATATTAACCAAATTCTTTTCCATGCCTAATCATTTTCATAGATACAGTGTGACACTGATTGAGACACCTAAAATTCTGTTAGTGCCTCAAAAGCATGATTCCCACCAGTGTTTTAAAACTTTACGTTGACTACTTGGTGGATGACTTATTGAACTTGACTTGGCAACCTTTGACTGTCTTACTACTACCACATATAACCAATAAAGCAAAAACAACCATTGCATTAAGCTGCTTATGTGCCAGATACTGTTCTAAGCATTTTACATATATTAGTTTATTTAATTCTCACAATAACTTTGACATAGGTATTATTACACTTTATATTTTAAAGATGAGACTCAAGGGACTAAAAAAGTAATTTATCCAAAATCACCATTTAGAAAGTGGCTATCCCTGATTTACTATCTCTAGATTATTCTCTTTCTCACCTACGGAAAAGTTATAGTTTTCTGAAATTTAGTAGAATTTGGAAAATTCGGGTAAAAATTATATTTCCATTGTGAAATTTTGATAAAGTTCAGAAAATGGATTATTTTTATTTTTAGAATACAGTAATTTCTCCCTTCATTTTAACAAGATATAAAATGTTTTTAATTTTAAAGAATTCTCACATAAGTATAGCTACTATAGAAAAACACTTGTCAATTTTAACTGCCTTAGTATTGTATCATAACAAAGAGATTTGTTTAAGTGGATTTGGTTTTACCACAGGTCCAAGTTATTATAGCTAAATTCCACCATAGGAAAATATGGATAGCATGGCTAATGTCTAAGGTATCAGTTCTCATCTCTAAGCTACATTTAAAAAAGTGTTTATAATAGTTTATTAATTCTTCCCTTTCTTACATTAAAATTAAATATTCATAAGTGTCTGCTGCTCACTTCATAGAAATCTTTAACAAACATGTCTGGTTGAATCACTGAATGATAGAAAATGTAGAGCTAGCTTCAGCCCCTTAAGCAATCCTACTAGTGTATAATGGAACTAAAACAAACAACACATAATATACCCACTCTTAAACTCAAGATCTAAATATTTTCAGGTTAGTAACCAATTCAGATGATAGTATGGTCATTGCATTGAAAAATAATTAGCCAATGAGGAAGCTAAAGAATTAATATTGCTTGTGTAGATATTTTCATGTCACATTTTTTTCTGTCCTCATATAATTTAATGTCTTGTTTTTTTCTAGTTTATGTTATGATAGCAATTTTCTGCATAGCATCAGCGATGAGTATGTACAACTGTCTAGCTGCACTAATTCATAGGATACCATATGGACAATGCAAGTATGTATCTCTAATGAGGAAGCCTATAATGTTGATATTTGTCATTTAAAACAATACAAGAAAAAGTAGGAGTCTTATTTAAGCCTGTGTAATTCAATATACTGTGGCTATTTAAATTTAAATTAATTAAAATTTAATAAAATTAAAAACTCAGTTTCTCAGTCTCATTAGCCACGTTTCAAGTGCTAAATAGACACATGTGGCTAGTGCTACTGTGTTGGACAGCACAGATATAGAACATTTTTATCACAGAAAATTCTATTGAAATGATAAACGTTTTATTTTATTATGTATCATTTGGTTTTTTTTTAATCAAGACTTTTAAATTGGTGTTTCAATAGATTTCTTGCAACTGTGGTTAACATTTGTCATTTCTCATATTAAATGAACATTTTATTTCCTCTGCAGGATAAACTAACCTATTTAAATCTGTTTTTTAGGATTGTGTGTTGTGGCAAAAGCATTGAAGTGAGACTTATTTTTCTCTCTGGACTGTGCATTGCAATAGCTGTTGTTTGGGCTGTGTTTCGAAATGAAAATAGGTATGAGTACTTGGTTTATTTGCTTTTATATTAAGTATGGATTATTTTATATCTTGCTGTGATAATTATTCATTATGATTGTTAAAGAAGTTTTTTTGCTTTTATCCCAGAACATGATAGTCTTGAAAAAAGTTACTTCTTAAATAAGCCAATCTTGTGCTAATGGATTTGATATCATAAGAGAAGGCAATATGAATCATAATTTAAACATTTAAGCTGAAATAGATTTTAAAAACGTACTTAATTATGATATAGCCACACAATGGAGCACAACTATAAAAAATGAAGATCTCTATGAATTGATATGCAGTGATTTCCAGAATACTATTTTAAGTGAAAAAGCAAAATGCAAAAGATTATCTAGATTATACTACCTTTCATATTATAAAGAAGGACATATAATAGATACCTGTCCATTTGCATAAAGGATAACCAGAAAAAAATATATAGTTGTTTATTGAATGGTTTATTAATAAAATTATTAAAGCCCAAAGGATTTAGTGGCCTAAAATTTAGAAGCAAAGTTCATACACTTTTAGGCAGCTATACAGTATGATAAATCAATTGATAATTATTCATGTCAGTTTCTGGTAGAGTATGTTGCATAGCCCTTGTTTCTTTTATGTTCTAGTTATCTGGATATATATTATCACCAATATCCTCTGTTATGAGCTACTTTTCTAGAAGGAGACATGTATAAATCCAAAGATTAAAGATAAATATGCAGTTATGTCTGATTACATTCTTCTGAGGTAGCCTTTCAACTGTTTTTTAGTGTAGTAGTATTCATTAATCTACTAGGTCAGTAAATTACTAAATATGGAGAATATGAGAGGGTTTTTTGTTATAATTACTGCTTAATTATTGAACAGTCAAATTGTAGTAATTGAACTATATTACTGTATTGATCTCTTCTTTTGAAAACTTCCATCTAAAAATAACTGGATAAAATAGCAGAGTTAATTTTTTATTTTAGGTGGGCTTGGATTTTACAAGATATCTTGGGGATTGCTTTCTGTCTGAATTTAATTAAAACAATGAAGTTACCCAACTTCAAGGTAAAGTACACTACTTTGCTAGTTAAAATAATTTTTTTCTTTTTAAAACAACCTTATTAAGGTATAATTTATGTATAATAAAATGCACCCATTTGAAGTATACAGTTGATTGAAATTTTACAAGTGTATAGCTTCGTAACCACCATCTCAATCAAGTCAGAGAACATTTTCATCTCTTCAAAATCTCTGTCATGCCCTTTTGCATTCAGTCCTAATCCCCAGACCCAGATAACGACTGATTTGCTAGCTAAAATATTTTTAATCATTCATATAACATGCCAAATTCATAAAATCCTTACAGGATGAAATATCAGGGAATAACATTTCTTTGATTCAGTGATTCTTTTTTTTTTTTTTAAAGAATGGGGTAATGAAGTTAAAAATCTGAATGTTTTTGTAGAATAAAACTACAAGTAGAATAACCACTAAATGCTTTTTAAAAATTAATGTTCAAATGTATGTTCACAATTTATTTGTAACTTGAAAAATAATGTCTTAATACAAATATGGGAAGTTTGACTTTTAAATTTGTCTCTTTTGTCAACAGTCATGTGTGATACTTCTAGGCCTTCTCCTCCTCTATGATGTATTTTTTGTTTTCATAACACCATTCATCACAAAGGTATGATATTTTTGAAACCCATAAGAAACATGCTGAAAGATAAGAATCTTAAATCTACTCTTAGTTTATTGATTTTGCAGATGTTTACCACTGAATAAATCTAATTCTTAATAAAATTGTTATTGAAATTGTCCTTTTAATAGAGGATATTTTCAAGCCTTTATTCTACTAAATAAAAAAAAAATGTCTCCTGACTGATGTGAACATGAAAATGTCTATAAATTTGCTACTTACCCTTTGTAAAGTAACTTTTCTTATTATTGTAAAATAATAAATGTTTGCTGTAGAAAATGTAGACAGCAAAGATAATGAAAATGTGTTATTGCTACTTCCATTTCTGTAGCCCTCATTTGAGACTAAGCAAGAGCACCACACTAGAATTCTGAAGACCCAAAGTGTAGTTCTGTCATCTTGTAACCCTGGACAAGTCATTTAGCTCTTAGTGCTTCAGTTTCCTAAACTCATTACGTGAAGGAGTATTGCTAGCATTCCATCCTCCCTCTTCCATCAGTAAAAATCTTTTGGTTGAAACTGGCAGAACCCAACCTACCCTTTCTATGCTAAAAAGGTCCTGTCTATCGTGGCTGTGTGTAGAGGCCAGGATGGGGCTAGCCTCAGGAGAAACTGGACAACAGAACCACATGCTCTTCCTTTCTGCTTCTGTCCATTTGTTCATTGTCTCAGACTTAACCTTTCCCATGAGGTTAGTAGAATCATAGCAACTCGAAGTTCTTAGGTCATCTATTTGCAGCTGTCCCAGAATAAGGGAAAGGTGTTTGTTGAGTGGTAGTCTTTCATTATTTGCTCAATTTTTCCACCTTGTCCCTATTCCTATCTCAAGAATATATTATTAATTATTGCTCAGTTCTCCCACATTCCCCATTTTATGTTGAGTCTTGCTTTGTGACTTTATATCTCTTTATCCTTTGTTACTGTCACTTAATATTGGATATTATAATCACTTTTTTTTTCTCCTATTAGTTCTTTATCCATTCTTTAGCCTCTACCATCTGTGAAATCACTGTAAAACTCTGCACTTCTGATATTTGCTATGATGGCAGAAGACAAGTATGTGCCCCATTGGGGAGCTAAAATTGCAACTAGGTAACAAATGTAGTCAACTGCCCCAAATCACAGCTACCCAAACTGTTTTACTAGCACCTTTCCACACCTTTATGATGAGCCGTTTGACTCATTGACTTCATTTGCAATAGTAATCTATAAAAGCATAAAACTGGTATTATGCATTATAAGAAAAATTGTTGATTTATTAAAGCATTTTTAAAAGGTGTATCTAAAGTTATCAGAGCTTGTGTCAATTTACTTGGTTCAATAAAATGTCTCTGTAAGTCACTCCATCAGAGATCTCATAATGAAAGTAAAGTATTCTCTTTACAAAGCCATTGTCATTGGTCAACATATAGTCATAGCATATGACTCATATTTTACAGTGGCTCTAACTATAAACTATAACTAAATTCTTTTTTTAAATATTTTTTTCATTCTATTTTAATGATAGTACACTTTTTAAATGCCAAATGCATCTGCCAATAAACTGTTCCCTACACATAAAAAGTTTTAGGATTTTAAAGATATAGTGTAATGATAAAGGTGACTTTGATCCTTCTTTCTTTCTTCTGTGCTTAGGGAATTTTTCATCTTTTTTTCCATCTTAGTTCCCACTGACTAAAAATGTGATTTCTAATAATCCGATCCAGTGGAAAAGATTGAAATGTTCTTTGCTGTTCACTGTTATAAATTTACTTTAACACCTTCTCAGTCAGGTTTGTTTATTTTTATTAAGGCTATCTATCTTTAATAGATAACTCAAAATGAAAATCAGATATGTAATTTCTGATTTTTGTGGTTTTAACTGAAAATTTCAAGAATTAAATATTGAACATTCTAAACATGTTCTTGACCCTTGTATTTGTAAACTTTTAATGAGTTAGCAGGGCAGGTGGCCATGAATGAGTACAGGCAGTAGGAACCTGTTGATCTTTTTTCATCCATCACCATACTTGGTATAGCATCTTGCAAATAGTTACTCAAATATCTTTGAATGTAAGGGAGGATGTCAGTGATGGTCTTCAGGTAAATGTTTTAAATAGCAATTAGAAAACAAACCAAGATGAACTCTATCTGGAAATTGAATCACATGGTGGGAGTTTACTGTAAGGAACTGTATTTAATATTAGTTTATTTTCCTAAGCTATAACTTAACCTGTCTGTAGCCCAAAACTTAACATGAGGAAAAGATTTCTGTAGCCAGGGATTTTATCCTCTCGACTCAGCTCAGGTATCAGTGAAGTCCTTTTAAAAACACTCCACAGTGATTTCTCCTGGGCACCCCACCCACATGGAAAATATTATAGTTAGTAAATTAAATTTTCCTAAAATTCAACATTTATCTATCTTCCCACAACCCGTTTTGGTGATATTTATTATAATGTGAAGCACACGATGGGTACTCATGCCATCTTAGCTTGCAACCTCAAAATGTTTCCCTACTCTACAACCCACGTGGCTGACCGGAAAGAACTTTTTAATGAACTCTTCACACAGCTCACATAAAAATACCTTAGCTAGACACAACGGAGGAAATTCAGCTAAGGTTAATGTTTTGATTGGGACATAGAAAGCAGGCAGGGCTGAAATTGGACAGGAGTCAGGCTAGAGAAGCTTCTCAAGTTCGTTAGGGCTGGGTCTCTTCGAGTTTGGCTTTGTTGTTTTGTTATAGTGAGTAGCCAGAGATTAAATGTATATTTGTTCAAATAAAGTTACCGATATTTATTACAAATCTAAATATTAAAAATTTTAGTATTTCTTGTGTCCCTATTGTTATTGCTAAAAATGACTGAGGACACATAGTATATGACATAATATAACTAAAAGCACTTAAAATGTATAGCCCATTAGAAATGCTAGATATTAGTTGTCAATGCAAATCAGTGCACAAAGCTTCACTTGAATAAGCTGTGTGTGGTATGTCTGTCAGTTGATTTTTAATTTTTGAGATCTGAGAAACTGGAACAATGTGTTATGTGAACTTTGTTTTAGATGACTCCAATTTTTGCTATCTACAGAGACTGTTGTAGGAAAAAAGAAGCCTACGTTCCATTTTTTTACAATTTTCAATAGGCCATAAGCCATGGGGTCAAAAATCATTTTTGAATACCGGCAAATTGTTCTTTTTAAATGATTGGACAGTTTCTTTCATCTTCCTTCTCAATTTTAGAACGGCGAGAGTATCATGGTTGAACTTGCAGCTGGACCTTTTGGAAATAATGAAAAGGTAGTGATGGCAATTAAACAGAAATGGCTGCCAGTGTATGTATGTGTGTCATGTTAATAATTTTGACTTCCTGTGTAATTCATTGGTCATGTAGTGCATGCCAAGGTATTGTAAAACTTTATTTCTCACAAAATATAGCCCTTTTCTTAGTTATTCAAAATTATTAAATACCTATTGACTTGGGTTTCATCCTAGAATGATGGAAACTTGTTGGAAGCCACTGCTCAACCCTCAGCTCCCCATGAGAAAGTAAGGATTGTATTTCAGATATGTTCATTAGACTTTAAATCATATCCTCTGAGAAAAGATACTTCTTTGGGGAAAAAAATCCAGATTGCCAAAAAAACAAATCTGTTTCAAGGCCTGAGTCCTATTTTTGTTAAAAAGGAAAAAGAGCTTAGATATGGGGATACTGGATTAATACTTTTAACCTTACATGTGTGTTGGGTTTCATTTTTCCAAAACTACATAGCTATTTCTTTCAAGCTTTCTATACATTCAGAGTATATATGTGTCTAGTTTATGTTCTCTGATTTCAAGTTCTTCTAAATGTCAATTTTAAAATGTTAAAACAATTATTCTAATGTTAATCCTTCCCTTTCTAAAAGATATGGATAAAGATTCCTAAGAGGTTTATTGGTGGCATTTTTTCTTCCTTTCTTTTTTTCTTCCTTTCTTTTTTTTAATAATTACAGTTACCAGTAGTCATCAGAGTGCCAAAGCTGACGTATTTCTCAGTAATGAATGTGTGCATCATGCCAGTTTCAATATTGGGTTTTGGAGACATCATTGTACCAGGTAAGCAATTGTTTGTAACAATTTTAGTAAAAATGTACTGATGGATTAAAATTCTTAAATGCATAGTATCTGTTAAAAGTTACTTATTCGGTATTAAGTATTTCTGGCTGTCCCTAGAGTTGGGATCAGTGACATAGAAAGAAAAAAAAAAACATTATAAGGGGTGGAAAATAAAGCCTAATTGGTAACAACCAAAGTATATCTCCCATGGCTCAAAAAGTGTCTTAGAGGAAGCAACTGGGACCATTTTGACTTTCTTTATCAAGAAAGTATAATATATATAACATTAATAGTTGAATTTAATAATACCAAATGTATTATAGTTCCTACTCTATTTTTAAATAATAATGATTATGTTTTAGGAAAAGTAGTTTAGTAATACTAGGCAAGGTCATGATCAAGAGGAATAAGCTACTAGAACACCAGCTTGTAGGGCACTATTACATAATATCAAAAAATACAGCATGTGGTGGAGTCCATCACCTCTCTTAGCTTGTTTTCTCTAACATTGATTGGGGTTCTGCATTGTTTTCCTCGCTGGGCTACCTGTAAAATAAACTTATTCCCAGCCCATTAAGAAAATAGGCTAGAAGTAATTAATATTTCTCAATCAGTTGAGATTTTGTCCTTCCTCACTTTTCTTACAGTATCCCTGTGTACTAACTACCTGTGGATGGGTAAAGAAAATTAAAAAAAACTTTTATTTACATAGTAAAGCTAAGTAGAGAGAGAATTTAACAGTGTTGCCTTGTGAATAGTTGGCATGTGGAACTCCAGTGTTTTAATTGTCTTAGTTCAGTGAGCCTCCATTCCCACAAAGCAGGGAGAGCATTCTATTGGGTAACCTTAAGGTTTCTTTTTTGTTTGTTTTTTTTTAAAACTGGGGGCTTGGGGGATGGGAACAGCGCTGGGGAATTGGTGGAAGGGGAACAGACAAGTTGCTGTCCTTTTGTTCTTCAGTCTAGTTGTGGAGGACGTTGCTTCACTGGCCCAAGTTGGCACCATCATTGCGCTCTTCCTGGGCGAGGCAGATCAGTCTCCAGCCTCTGGATGGCCGCTCACGGCGGCTGCTGGCCACTGGCTGCCGGCTATACACGGTAGCTTATGGCAGCCCACTGCAGCAGGGAACTGCAGCCTACGCATCGCTGGCGACTCACGGCAGCCCAGCCCCAGGTCAAGCTGCCATTCACCATCTTAGCTATAGAGGGTAGTGTCACTGGCCCTCGTATGTGGGATCCGAACCGGGGCCCTCTGGCGTCTCAAGCCAGTTCTTAACCAACGCGCCACTCAGCCAGCCCATAAATATTACATTCTTAAGTAAATGAAGATCCCAAACAAATATTTCCCCAAACAGCAGAGTTTTTGACAATACATGACTTATTCTAAAAGCTAAATTCTGATTTTGGGGGAGAGAGTTCCATTTTTTTAAACACATGAAAATGTGGTTAAATTGCAAATAAAGTAAAAATAACAAGAAATTATCAAAGAACTTATTGATTAATTATGTAGGGACCAAGACTAATTAATTGAAACAACCAATAAAAATAGTAAAATTATTTTATAATTTTTCAATAGTTAAATGTCATTCTTACTGTTTCCTAACAGTGTTTAATTAGTAAATACAATCTAAAACTTCTTTGGAGAGGGTCAACAAATTTCTTAAAAGAAATAGGTAGTAAAATAGATTATTTATATACTTGGCATGTTTACAAATGAGAGCTTATATTTAATTTTTCTTTGAACTCTTTGTATTAAAAGTCCAAAATTATTTTATTCTACTAGGAAGGGAGACTTTGATCATAATTTGAAGTTGTCTTCCTTGATGCTCTTATAATACATTTTTTTTAATGCTGCATTTGAACATTTTTCTTAACACTGTATGCCAAATGAATCTAACAAACATATACAGAACGTTCCGTTCAACAATAGCCAAATACACTTACTTCTGAAGCGCACACAGATCATTTTCTAGGATATATGTTAGACCACAAAACAAATCTTAGCAAATTTAAGAAGAAGGAAATCATGCCAAGAATATTTTCTGACCACTGTGGTATAAAACTAAATAACTAGGGGAAAACTAGAAAATTTATGATCACATGAAATTAGACAATTTTAAAGGGTGATGAAAAAGTATCTTGAGACAAACAAAAGAGATTCACAACATTCCAAAACTTGTGAGATGCAGCAAAAGCAGTTCTAAGAGGGAAGTTTATAGTGATAAGCACATACGTCAAGAAAACAGAAAGGTTACAATAAGCAACCTAATGTTATACATATAGGAACCAGAAAATAAAAGAACAAACTATACCCAAAGTTAGCAGAGGGAAGGAAATAGTAAAGATTAGAGCAGAAATAAATAGAGAAGACAAAGACAATAGAAAAGATTACTGAAACTAAGAGTTGGTTCTTTAAAAAGATAAATACAATTGACAGACCAAGAACAAAAGAGAGCGGACCCAAATCAATAAAATTATAAATGAGAGGAAATATTATAACTAAAACCACAGAAATATAAAAATTTTCTCCATGACGTGGAATAGTAAGCAGCTAATAAAAAATCATGTTTGTAAGACTGTTTAATGTCTTGTGAAAATGTTTTAAAATAATGGCATTAAATACAAAAATTAGCATATAAAATTTTGTCTAGAATTTGAGGTATTTAATGTTCTCATGATGCAAAAATGAAAGTTAAATACAATACATTGTGTACTGTTGCAATAGTTAACAGTTGAATTTGTGTTGCTGTTGTTTTAAGAAAATAACGTGGAGTGTTTCTTTGTTTTTTGTTTTTTAAGGCCTATTGATTGCATACTGTAGAAGATTTGATGAGCAGACTGGCTCTTCGTCTATATATTATATCTCTTCCACAATTGGTAGATTTTTTTGTTTTTTCTTTTTATTATATTGAATTGTATTCTCTGTAGGAAAAGGTAGATGTCTAAAAATAAGGAGTTCTGATTTCTAATTCTTCACCATTAACTAATAAGATAAATTTTTTCCATCAGATAGAGATAATTATATTACCTATATCACCAGGTTTGTGAGGTTTAAAAGGAAATTATATGTGAAAGAAATACATTAGGTTACATATGTAAAATGCTTATTAGAGTACCTGGCATGAAAGTAGTCTCTAAATTGTGTAATACTAGATTTTTAAAAACTACTGAATGGATAACTATGTATTTATATAAATGAATTTATGACAAATAATTTCTTACCTAGAACAGCAGAGATAGTTGTTACTTATCCCTCTGTTTCTATTATTGAAAACAGACAAGAACAGGAAGGAAGCCAAAAACAATACTTTAATACTTTTGAATATATCAAATAGATATCTCAAAGTCCTCACTCCAAAGTTCTTTACGCTTAGGTAAATGGCCTGCACCAGAGCCAATTAGATTCTGGTTTAGCAAAGTTTTCAATTCCACAGTAAGATTAAATCCAGTAAATTAAAAGCATGCGCTAGTAGTAGAGAATGCTGTTGCTAAAACTTGGTACCCTGACAGCAAGAAAGAGCAGTTAAGTGATTGAAAAGATGAAGAAAAGAAAAAAATTATAAAGAAATAAGAAAAAGCAATCTGAGGCCATTAAGTAGGTACTCTCGAAGGGCATTAACATAATAGAGTCTAGCACCAGTTAGTGTGGTACAATAAAAGAACATTCAATGAAAAAGGCATATAATAGAACTGTCAATTCTGCTGTGTAACTTTGGATAATTTACTTAACTTCCCTGGTCCTCCACTGCCTCATCTGTAAAATGAGGAGGTAGATTAAATTATATGTAAAGGTCCTTCGAGCACCAAAATTCTGAGGTCCTGTGTTCATCATGGAGACCCTGGGTCATTAAGAAAAGATCAGATGATGTTTGGTATGCTCTTGTTGAAGAAGCCCAGGAATGATATATAATCAATATGAGGAAGCTATTTCAAAGAATCTGTTAGTACCTATAGGTACAGATTTTATTTGTCTAAAATGTGGAACAACTCAAAATACTTAATAGTGACAGAATGTTGAGACTATACTGAATTATTATCTTTATCTGTGATTGATGATTAGAGTAATTATAATTGAAATACTAACCAGTTTCTAAATTTTTCAAAAGCTCTGTAGAATGTCTCTCCTAATTACTATCTAGGAAAATAATGAAATTATGAAAAGAAGTCACAGGGTAAAATGTTCTCCAGTATTTGAAAACTAGTACTTCAATGAGGGAATTATTTAAAGTCTACCTTTGGTAGCATGTACTAACGACTGATACTTGGTATTTTTCTTGCAGCCTATGCTGTTGGCATGATACTTACATTTGTTGTTCTGGTGCTGATGAAAAAGGGGCAACCTGCTCTCCTCTATTTAGTACCTTGCACACTTATTACTGCCTCGATTGTTGCTTGGAGACGTAAGGAAATGAAAAAGTTCTGGAAAGGTAACGGGTATCAGGTATGTAGCTTATATTTCAGTTACCAAGTTATGACATAATTCACTGACTAACTTTGGCTGGGAACTGCCTATATATATCAAAGCTTTTATATGCCAAAAAGTTATCTTGGATCTCTCAGGATGTCCTAAGTTTTTCCATTGCTGCCCCCTTTCCTCCTGCTGCATCATCAGTTCTCATTCCCACTCAACCTGATGCCAAAATCCTGGTGACTCAAGATAAAACTACCAGGAAGGAGTTAGGAGGAAGGCATCAAGGAAAACCAAATCAGCATTTCAACATGAGTTTTCAAAATTCACACAAAAGTAGACTTCATGAAAGATAACACGCTATGTTAAGTACTGAATTTGGAGACTGACAATAGCTATTTATAGTAAGAGTTCTAAGGTTTTGCAGATAAAAAGTGTACTCTCTTCAGCATCTCAATGAGCCTGACTAAATGAAATAGGGCACTCGCTTCAGATTTAAATGGATCAAGATTGACCTTTCTGTAAAATTCCAGAACAGAGAAAAATCTTGATACCAGAATCTGTTATTTGAATTGTTTCTTCATTGAAGTTAAACCCCTTTCTTCTTTTCATGAATGTTCTTGGTATTCCAGTAAAATTTGTTTACATTGAAATTAAAGAGGGTTGGGAAACCCTAGCCTTTGAGTTCAGGGTCATGGCATTGATCCCTTCATGTGACAGCTCTGCTTTGACCTATTACAACAAACTGCCCTTCTCCATCCACTCTCATGCATGAACAAAACAGAGATACTTTGGGTGGATGACTGCAATTCTGTTAGGTAAACAGTTCAAAGTTCATATCCATCTTGTGGTTGGTCTGTAGTATCATCTTTATTAAACAACAGCTGATTAACACATTAAGTTAGACTACTATAATTGAAAAAAGCACTGGTCTAGAATTGGTTTGTGTAAATCTTGTAATTTCTCTGAGATTTGGTTGAAATAATAATACCTGCCTTGCCTACCTCACGATGCCATTGTCTCAACATGTATTTATACGCATATAATTAGTTTATGATCACAAGGGACTGAAATGGTAAGATAGCTTATAACTTTTCCTTTAAGAGGTCACCCACATAGAGCTTTTTTTATTTTTGTAGATTTTAAAAAATAAAGTATGTCCTACAACACACACTCTACTACTAGCCTTTGAAGACCACATCCTAGAAAGTGCCTTTCTCATCATTTTTTTTAAAATAGTTTTATATTTCTTCATTTAGCAAAGGTTTCTTGAGCAATTCTATGACCCAGGTACTATTTTAGGTGCTGGTGATAAAAGATGAACAAGTTAGAAATATGCCTACTCTCATAGCCTCTTGAAAGTTAGAGTGTAGTGAGGGATGCAGATAGAGTCACTAACAATAACGTGATAAATGTATTAGGGTAGAGTGACATGAAATGTACTAGGGTAGAGTCCCTAGAGTTGGGACACCAGTGCTTGTGGTTTCATGACGGAATCAAAGGTGATTTGGGAGAGACTTTTTAAAGAATATTAAATTTATGTTGAGACTTTAACTCAGCCACGTGTTCTATATTGAGGGGAACCATGTCTTCAAAGGCTCAGCGGGAAGAGAGTATGATAACATTCTATTGTAGGAACCAAAAGAAGTCAAGGATGACTATAATGCTGAGTAAGAGTAAGGGAACAGTGGGAAATGAAAACTGGAGAAGGAAGCAAGGATAAAAGCCTGTAGGGTTTTATAAGCCATGTTAAAGAGTTTGGATTCTATCCTAAGAGGGTTGGGGACCACTTAAGGGTTTTAAGAAATTCAGAAAATGGATCGAAGGAGATAGCAGAACTTGAGGCAACTATTACAATGAGAAGCGATAGTAGCCAGGAATTAGGAAGGCAGTGAGACTGAGAGAAGTAGACAAAGTTAAGAGGAATTTAGAGACTTTATTAATGAGATGTGGTTATAGATTCAGTGTAGGGAGAGGAGAAGGAAGTGGTGTCCAAGGTTTCTGCCTTGGGTAACTGAATGGGTGGATGGTGATACTGTCCACTGAGACAAAGAAGGGCAGCAGGTTTGAGGAGGAAGTTGATTAATTCAGTGTTGCACATGTTCAATATCAGACATGAACTCAATTCTGGACTTTTCAAAACACCTATAGGACCACCAGGAAGAGAGATATAATAGGCAGTTGAATAAATATCTCCTGATGTGCAGGAAACAGACCGTGCTAGAGATAGAAATTTGGGAGTGTCATCATGTTCAACGAGTGAGTGAAAACATGGAGGGAGAAGAGAAGAACTGTGAGCAGATTTTTACTGTTAGGGCACTTAATCTGATTAACGATTATGATGTAAGGACAAGGAAGATGAGCAACGGGGAAATTTTGTTTAGGGTTGGTATTAAATCTTGACTTACGTTAGAATTTAAATTTGCGACTGTTAGTGAGAGCACGTGTGCTATCTTACAGAATTAAATATAGTATTTCTTGTTTTCATCACCAGCATTTTATTTTTACTTATAAAATTTTCCTTCTCCTTTAACACAACTTTAAAGTATTTTATTATAAAAATATGTGCTTGTTGCACAAAGTTTTGAAAATGCAGGAAAATATAAGAAAATTGAGTCCACCCATAATCCCACCACCTAGAGAGAGCCACTCTTAAGATTTAAGTGAGTTTCCTTGTATGCCTTTTTAGGTAGATGGATAGGTGAGTAGATGGTACCATGCTCTATCTTGTTTCTCCACAGCATGTTTGTGTTATTTCATTTTAAATTTCTTGTAAAAAATCATTTTAATGTCTGTATAATATTATCTCATATGTATATGTACCATACTTTATTTTACCATTTCCATTGACACAGTAATTTCTCTCCAGTGGATTCTCCAGAAAATGAATAAAAATTGTGCAAAATTGATGTGAAAAGATGTTCTACTACTGGTCATTTTTCTATTATAACAACTTACAGGTTAATGTTATTGGCAGTTAATGAACTAAAATTTTTACACAGACCCTGACCCTGCTTTTACTTTGATTATTTTTCTTTTGGTATTTTAATTACAAAGTAATGCATGTTTGCATTTTATAAACAAGCAATGCAAAAGTGTCTAAACATAGAAGGCCCTTTTCTAACTCTTCTCTAACCCCACCCCTACCCTGAAGAGGTAGCTACTTTGTAGTTTGTGTAGTGCTTCCAGATCTTTTTTATGCCAACTCATACTAAAAATAATTGAATATTTAGAGATGTTATTTATGTAGATGTAATAACATTGTGTCTCTGAAAATATTCTTCAGCTCATTTTTTTCTTGGGTTTATTGTATCACCTTTCCTCCTTTCTCTCTCCATGATGTTTATTGCGGAGAAAGGGGATGGTAGGTAAAGAAGGAATCATCCATGGGATGCATTTATATTCCCTATGAACAAATTCTGTGCCCTGGACCATCCAAGTTTCATTCTTAAAAATTGTGATCTTAAACAAAATTATGATCTGCTTCATAGCAGTTAACTATAATATAAAGGGAAGGCTCATCGCAGCTGGACTCAAAGCAGTAGGAAATGGCCCCAGAAGGGCAGACTCCAGGGCTTTCTATCACATGACATAGTAGCTAAATAAAGCAGTTGATTGTAGGAAAATCTATTTAAAAGCGTCTCAAAAGATAGAACAACTTTGGTTATACACTTCTCACTTTTGTAGTGTGGTGTCATAATTTTATTAGGTAAAGACATTCAGAATATAAAGTAACACGTAGTAATAAAAAGTGTGGAATCTGCTGCCAGACTGACTTCGTCTGAACTCCAATTTTGTTAATTATTAGCTATGTGATATTAGGCAAGTTACTTAGTTTCTTGGCATCTCTGTTTCCTGCAAATGGATAATAGTCATGTACTTAAGAGGGTTGTTATATTTGCAAAATGCTTAGACTAACTAGTGCCTGACACAGCATGAGCACTATAAATGTATTTGCTATTATTATTTGTAGGAATTTGGGTTTTATGTTTTGGGTTTTGTTGGTTTGGCTGTTATTTTTCAATTCATTAGCTAGGTTTCCATTTTCCTAGTTTAGGTGTTAAATCTTTGGGTCTTGGTTAAATCTGGTTCCTTTAACTTATTTGTAAAGGGATTGAGAGCCATCATAAGCATCAGAGAAAAAAATCTGTTAAACTCAGTCATTTTCCTACTGTGCACTAGATTTTAAAATATGAAGAATGGATATTTGCTGGAATTTTAGGCCAGCTAGTTACAGAATCTTACCAACTGCTGCTAAGAGAGGGTCTGTTTTTCTGGAAAACTAGCCTTTTTGAAATTTATGGAATATAATGCCTTGACAAAATTATTCCCCTATTAATGTGAAAGAAAAATATCTCATTGCTTTTGTCCAACCTTTAAAGTCAAAATTAATTTAGCTTGAATGTTGTCACTTGTGGTATATTATGGATTATATAGAGTATATTATTGGCTATGGCATCAGTTCTGGCAAATTAGCTAATCTGTTAAGGCTGTCTCTTTGTCCATAAAATGAGGTTGGATCTTCAAGGCAAGTAAGAAAATGTGTAATTCATTGTGGTGAGTTAGCCTAAGACTTGGTGAGGCGGGTGGATGTTGAAATCAGATATAAGGCTAGGCAGATGCTTGGAAAGTAGAGAACCTCAACAAGCCTGATAAAGTAGAGGGAGACTAGGTACAGACCCGGTGCATGATAAGCCTGAGGGTCAGCCCTGCAGACAGCCTTCAGGTAGTTACTAGTTCATCTCTTAAATTACAGTATAAGAATCCTTTTCTTCCTCTTCCTCCATTATCTTCATAGTGTTGCCAGTTTCTGTTTCCAGAATATCCCTTATGTAACTCCCAACTCAAAATCCGCCTTCTCCAAGGAGATATTCAAGAGTTTTCTAATTGAAATTAGATTCACCTTTCCCCATATTTTTTGTAGACTTTGTACTTTAAATACTTATTAACATCTGCCTTGTAGTCTCATATGTATGCCTCCCTCATTAAGATATTAGCTCATAGGTGCTGATAACAGTGTTTTATACACTGTAAATTCTCAGTTAGTGTTATTAGAATTCTTCATGCAAAGTAGCTATAATGTTCAGTCCTTAATCCACTGACCTTTAGTCACTTTTGTGTGTGTGCATAAGTTCCCTGATTGTGTTTTAGCAGCCCTCATTAAATTACCAAAATTGTTATAGGGTATTGAAAAGTGAGGCACTTTTAAAACATTAAACTAGACTTCTGTGTCTGTAATCTTTATAATCATTTTTTGCAGGTACCAAAAGTTTTTGCTACTGTTTTGAAATAATCAAATATAAAGCAAGTAATATAAAAGTCAGAATTTAAGGTGATGAAATGTTTGTTTATGCTGTTAATCATTTGGTTCGTTCTAATGCCCGACATTAGAGTGGAGTGTTAGAATAGTGGTGGTAAAAAGCAGGACTTTGCATGGAGACTTCTAAATGTCATGGGTAACTCCAACAGCCTTTTAATATTGTTTTCAAAGAGCAAATTATACCTCATTTGTTGCTGAAACTTAAGAGACTTCATAGAAATACTTTAGTATTTTACTTGGAGCCTTTCAGCTCTTTCAATGAATTTCTCTGATCAAAAGAAGTAATGTTTCTATAAAATTTCACTAAAATAATACTAATTTGGAAATCTTAATTGTATATTCTTTTCTAGAGCTCAAAGCTACTTGACACTATATTTTCTATGAATTTTTTTTTTCTAGAATGCTTCAAGAGTACAGTATTCAGTTCCATTTATTTGATTTTACTGAGAATTAGTTCTAATTAGTGTAGAGTAAATAAAGGTGTATTTTCTCTAGAGAGAAAAGTCAAGCACTAGCATAATTACTTTGGCATATAGAACAATTAAGAGAAATTGTCATTTTAGGAGATTTTTATTTGTTTGTTTCTAATCCTAAATCAGTGGAGTTAGATTTATGCAGCCCCCTCCAATGGGCAATTTTACTCTGAGTTAGAAGTAAGTTTTTAGTTGTTGATACCAGTAAACAGTGGATTTGTCTCTGTTAAATGTCACTAGTGCTTCTAATTATTTTTAGAAGTCACAAGCTGTCACTAACAAGTCCGAGTAGAGATACTTAGAACAACTCTGCTTTAGTATCAGCAACTCTCCAGTTACCCCACATCGATGAGGGTCTTATTAGAGTGTTTCTGGAGATTGGTTCAATTATAAATAAGCAGAGCTATTAGTAAATGATGTTTCTATGTTGTTTTTTATTGAACAGTCAGGAAAGAAAACTACATACATACAGAGTAGAAATGTTTACTTCTCAATAAGTTGATTTTAAAAGTTTTTTGTTTCTTTTTTAAGCTAAGACTTTTCTATATTTAGGGATCAGTTTACATTGCCAGTGAGGTACCTCAACATTAGGAAGGAAGAGACATGTTATAGCTGAGGGTATGTAGGCTATTGTTTCATTAGGTGACAGTCGCCAGGGTAAACAGGTCTCGGGGAAGTAAGAGTTTCTCCACCATCCATCCTGCGCTGAGGCTGCTCACAGCTCAACCTCTTCACCCAGAGCTTCTAAATTGCTAGAAGAAAGGGGGGCTAAATATATCTTACCTGCTTCTCCTCTCCCTCCTTCATTTAAATTGTGACTAAAATCAACTTTCAACAACTTCACCTTAAGTTTCCTGTGGTAAAATGCTTACTATATAACCTGTCTTGATTTGGCTTCTTTTTTCTCCTAGAACATGTAACTACCTTCATCTAGGGGATATCTTTGGCAAATAGAGGGCCTTAAAACTGATTGTTTGGGAACTTGAGATGATTCATAGAGTGTCAGCAGATTTGGGTTGTGTAAGCTGTGTCCATTACTTGAGACAGTTGTCAGGTGAAAGCCTCAGCTCATGTTGTATGCTTCTTGTCCAGCAAGTCCTGAGACCCCATTTGGAAGTGATTCCTCTCCTTCCTCTTCCAAAAAACACTAAAGCTTTTAGAATCAGTTTACAAAACTAGGAACAGTTGTCTTGCTGCTCTTTTCTTCTAATTCTTCATAAAGGAGGAGGAAAAAAGTGTATCACAATACTGAAATTTAATCACTAATCTTAAAAATTTTTACAATATTCACAAAGACATCAAGTACTTTTTTCTGTTTTTTAAGGAATTTTTTCTGAACAGGGTGAAAACACAGAATGTTTAAGCACTTTCTTCTTCCTTCATTCCCAAATATGGAAATATTTTTATGGGAATATGGGCAGAGCTGAAGTGACTATTTGAGAAAAGTTTAACTGGTAATTAATTCTTCTAAAATAGTCTATAACAAATGTATTCTTGATTTTGTTTTTAGATATCATTTGACCTTTAAGTACCTTCAAGTTATTTGTTTTTAGTAGCAATTTTTGTCATACAATATTTCCAAAATTTCATGTATCATTTTCATATTATCTTAAGGTCAGTTCAAGGTGTCAACCAGGTTATACTGTCCCCGAGCCAGCAGGTATTCTCACAGTGAGTTGTGGGGCTATTTTTAGTTTTTCTACTTCTTGGAGTGGACACTGCCTAGAATGGTGTCCTGGAATAAGCATCAGGAATATCTTCTTTTTGTAGTGGAGTTCCCACTGCCACGAAGGGCAGTATTTATATAGGGAAATGGAAATAGTGGAGTATCCAGTCCAGAGAAAGCATTTGTCAGATTGGCCCTGAGTCCAATGATTAGCTTCCTGAAAGGTTTAGTGTCACTTTTGACTGTCTTTAGGAGCGTGGATATTGAACCAAAAGGAGTGCTCAGTTCCGTAGAGCACTCCGTGCCGTTTTGAAAAATTGGGGATCCTTTTGCCAAATTAGTGAATGTTGAGGGCAAGTTGAAAATTTGCATTTCCTAACATCTTTATTTACGCCTAGATGATGGAACAGCCCGACTATGCAACAAATGAAGAAGACCCTGTGACTGCTGGTGAACAGATTGTCCAACAGTAATACTATGTGGACTTGCCATAAATGTGTCAATTGATTTTCTACAAATAGAGTTCGACTTTTTGAATTGACTTTTGAATTGACAATCTGAAAGAATTTTCAATGACATGCTTGCAAATATATATTTTTAAGAGCTGGTACTGACAATTACATCATAAATAATTAAAATACATTTGCTTTTAACTATGTTAAAGTTGTGCCTTCACATTAAATAAAAGGATTTGGTCTGTTTAATTTTCAAAATGTATTATATACAGTATATTTTTCTAAAAAAGAATTGATCCACCCCTGTACTTTTCTTACTGAAATCTGTTTCAACTCTAATGATAGATAAAAGTATTTCTGTCTTAAGTGAGTTTCTGAACAGATTTTACTGTAAAGAATTATGCAAATTTTATGCTCTATAGAAATAACTATTTAAGACCATGCAAGAAGGCAGTTTAGCAATGAAATTTTGGACTTGTATCACTGCAAAGGTTAGAAAAATATAATTTGGGAATATATAAATGCATATTTTTATAGCATACATTAAAAAAAATTCCCAGTTCTTTTTTAAACTTGAGAACCTAAATTGCTTCAAATTGCGTATGTATTATATTAGAATATTTTTCCAGGGATACAGAAACATAATATATAGAACTAATCATTAAAAGGACACAAAAACTGAAATCCACAGTTTTCTGTGGTCTGATGTTTCCTTGAAGATGTAGCTTAAATTTCTACATTAATATTCAATTTCACTATGGTATTTCTGATCTCTGAAGTTTGATCCTGTTGACGCTAAGGCTTGATATTTTGTATAAATTATTTTTTTATCAAATTATATATTAATACATATGGCTTATTGTTTGAGTATAATATCCCTAACAATTACCCCCACCCTCCCAACTTTTTTGCCTCAGTCCCACTCCTTTCCCCAAAAGAAACCTCTTAACTTTTTAATATTTTGGTGGTTTACAAATGTACAAAGTGTGCTTCAGAGGAAAGAATTGAAGACAAAAGACAGGAAACTGGGTGTTAGTCTCAGTGTAATTACATTACAAGAGTTTGAGTAAATTGTCTTAGCTCAAGACACTTGTATCTCAGTTCTCTCACCTGCAGAATGAGTAGATTAGACCAATTAATCAATCTTGTACCTTCCAGCTTGAAAAAATCTTGCTCATTCTTTGCTAAATCTCAGATGTAACCTCCAACATTCTGCTGGGCATCAGAGGTCAAATTATCTTTCCATTTTCTTTTATTTTCTCTAAGAAATTTCCAAATGACATGTGATTGCAAAGGCAGCAGAAATTTGCATTTCTCTGTAAATAATATATAAAATATGTGAGCAAATCATGATCTTTCATTCTACAGCCAGTTCAGCTGATTAAAAGGTAAAATTAATGCCTTTTAAAATGGATCAGAGCTTTGATGTTTGAACTAAATTTAGCACTTGAGAGAATTAGATGCTTTTGATTAAGTCTTAACTTTTGCTGAGTAAATTAAAGGTAGAGAAGCCCCCTTGACAGCCCTCTTTCCACTTAATACACTTCTGGGTCCTTTAGTAAATGGCAAGTATCTGACAAGTAAGGGTTAAACTTAATTTTGCCTCTGTAATATCAAGTTTGAATTTTTTCCAAAGAATATAATTTATTTGGAACTCTGATAGAAGAACAGATTAAGTACCATTTTAAAGCTCCAACTATATTTTCATTTATAATATCAATAAAATGTTTGCCAGAATACAGCTTTTTTAGTAAAATTATCTGCATTCTCATCCCAGCTTTCTGATATTCAAAAGCCTCACCACATTTTATGAAGAATGTTTAAGAAAATTTTACATCTAGAAATCTAAAATTTTAGTGCTTTGATACAAATTCTACTTTATCCAACCATTGTTATCAAGGAGGTAAACCCTATTCTAGTTTGCTTTTAAATTTTTATTGACTAACTAGAAATAAGAAATAAAAAGTGAAATTCCTTAAGTTTCTCCATTCTCAATGTCAACTTTATATTTTACTTAAATACTCATTTTACCAACCCACCTGAAAATATTTAGAAAAATTACAATAAAGTACAGAAATATTTTACTTTGGGGATCAAAATGAACAGAAGGTAGGGGAGATGAAAACTTGGCTTTAAAAGGCAACATCGTTTCTTCCTCTCTTGCCCTTCTACCATAAGATACTTTATTACTACTTATAGAAAAACAATTATTGCTTAGAAATTCTCTGAACATTTTTTTAGCTTATCAAACAAATCACTAAATATCTCAAATTGTAATATAGATGATTTTTTCCCTTCAGTTTAGTTCAGCAAAGATAAATAGATTTGTGGGGAAAGGAAGACCTTTCTAAGTCCTAATACATTGTATTTTCTTCTAGCTTGTTTTTTTCTTTATCTTAGCAGTACCTTATTAGTGCAATCTGCAATTTATTTCACTTTTGAAAGAAGAAAAATTTAATCCATCTGCTGTTGGCATTTATAGATTTTAGTTAAATACCCATAGAGATTTTGGTGAAATGGTACATTTATAGTAAATACAAATGAACTTTATAGCTATCTTTTGCTCTTTCAATTTTTGCCTTAGGTATAAGCAAACATTATTTTTACATTTGACCAAAATATTTGAACTAATTTATTTAAGCCTGGTCTCAAATTTCAGCCTGATCTCAACCAATGAGACTTCGAAAACACAGGAATTGCATTTCAGGCTGGTGGAACGTACTAGTGTACTAGTTTGAAAGGCTTCATATTTTTCCATTAACAAGGAAAAGAATTCAATTTATTTAAGGTGATGCCAAATAACCAACTCTACAGTTTGAAAAATATATATATTTTCAGTAATCGAATTTATCTCAGATAATTCTAAACAGGTTGGGAGAGTAATGCAAATAAAATCAAAATACTGAATATAAATCACTTTATGCTTCCTAGGAGGCAGATACTCTGTATATTCAAGAGATCTGAATCAATTTACTCAACCTTTTGGAATTTAAAAGAAATTGTGTAGTACTCATGATTTGGATTACTGAATTTTCAGAGTAAACAATGATTGAAAGCGTAGTTATACAGGCCATATTATAGTGAAGACCTTGTATGTGAGCTTCCTTGTTTAATGTTTCAGTCTTTGTATCTGTGAAAAGGTCATTGGGGAACAATGATTGCCTAAACTAAAATTTTGGAATAGCCCCATCTTATTGTCAATTAAGGGGCAACTGAAAGAAAAAAGTATAGAATGTCATCATTCGTTTCTTTGATTAGGCATAAAAGTATTGTAAACAACTTCTATTCTTTTGGAATGTAAATTAAATATATATCCATAGTTTATCTGGTTAACCTGCAGGATTTCACAGTAAAACATGTCAATGTAAATGTGGTAGTTTTTGCCTATTCATACCTTCTGTTGTATTTTGTTTAAATGAGAACCTTTTAAAAAATACTTATGATTGGATTTTTACTTAGATGATTGGATTGAGTGTGGAATTCTTTTTTTAACACTTTGATATGTAAGTGTAAATTCATACTTTATAACACTATTAAGCTTTATTTTTTTTATGGGACATGATTTAAAATTTTTTGAAGTGTTAATTTAGCAGTGCTTTAAAAGTCTTCATTATGTGCCAATACTGACAAGGAAAACAATTTTTTAATGTATTGAATTCATTATGGTATTCAATAAATTTTATTTTAAAATAAAATTTGAATTTGTGTTATTTTGACTGGTGAAAAATAATTCAGAATGGACTAAAGGTGTACTAGAACTTGTCCACATAAGGTACAAATGGTAATAATCACTTAAGAAATTGTGTAGTTATTTAAGTCTGACAAATTATCCATAAAACTTAGATTCCATAAGTGTCATTTACTGGAAATTTATATTGATACATGATAGCCCTTAATAAATATTTATTGAATTAATGTATGTACAGACTTTTTTTACCAAAAAATTATTGTACATCTTGTGATGAACATTCCTGGCATTTTCTTATTAAAGAAACAAGTTTACTGTAAAACAGTATGCTGTGTTATGCTGGCAGCAGCGTCATACATCTCGTGTTCACTGCGTCTTGATTGCATCATTTTCTCTTGTGCTTGATTTAATCTCATGTGTTTTGTACAGTAAGATGCTTTATAGGTTTGTAGCCTAGGAGCAATAGGCAAACCATACAGCCTAGGCGTGTAGTAGGCTGTACCATCTAGGTTTGTGTAAGTGCACTTTTATGATGTTCACATTTGCACAGAATCACCCAACTACACATTTCTCAATGTATCCCTGTTGTTAAGCAGCGCATGACTGTACCTGTTAAAAAGATGGACATGATGCCATTGTTACATCTAAAAAAATGAACAATAATTATTTGATATTGTCTTACATCTGGTTCATAACCAAATTTTCCAAGTTGGCTCACACATGTCTTGTTTAGTTGATGAATTGAATTGGGATCCCATTATTCTTAAATCAGAATCACTTCTGTGTACAACCTGATTGATTGTTCATCCCTCAATTTTATGTGATTAAGTCTCTGCCTCAGATTGAAATTTAGGGCTTGCTTTTTTACCTAAGTGTCATCAGTTTGTTTGTTTTTTGTTGTTTTTTTTCACTTTCTCAGGCTGTAGTTAAATCAAATGATTTAGGAATAGCCACACCATCAAAAATAGTTTTAGAAAATTATCATTTACCATACTTTGATACATTTAGTCTTAGACCCCTTTAAACTCTCTGTCCAGCCAAAGTAATCCATTCATTAACATTTTCTTCAGAGAAGTTCATGTAGTCCCAGTAACAACATTCTTCATCAATACAAGGTCTTTGTTAAATTTAAAGGGAAATTTCTCTCTATGGTTATTGGTTATTTGTTCTAGCTTTTGCCTTAAACTAGTCACTTGGGGCAGAGTTTGAAATTTTGAAGAGGATATTTTTCCTTTTCAAAATAAAGCCAAAGAGAAAGTTTTAAAAAAGTGTATTGTATATTGTCTAATTAGCATTCACATACAATAAAATTGAAGAAGGCTGAGTTTCATCCTCTCAATTATGTAAGAACTATTTCTTGAATACCCATTATACCAGGCACTGTACTAAGCTACTGGGGTTATATATTTAATATTTGAAACAGTCCAGGTATTTTGGGTTGCTATTTTATAAGCTTGCTTCTTGCTAACCAGGTTAATTCTTTTGAAAGAATGCCTAAGAAAGAAAATCCATTAATCCTCTATCCAAAGGACAGCAAAATTTGTTGGAACTGGTTTAATCACTCTCTGCTTATATAAACAGGATTTGCCAAGCATTTATGAGTATCTAAATTTAAGCAATGGGATATTCTATAAAATAGACATTTCATATATTGGCTCTTAAATTATTTCGATGCTTTGATTTTAATAGTTCTAATGTATTCTAAGTTGTTCCTCTTCAGTTTTGAAATACAGTGTCCTTTCCCAGTTGCCCAAGGACTCACATGATGGCAAATCCGTTCAGGGAGCAGTCAGAGCAAGATTGATGTGGGAACAGTCAAATAAGCCAACTATTTGGACCTAGTGAAGTACACCAAGATTCTTGATTAGCTGAATAGTCTGAGGAAAAGATTCTGTGAAAGAGTGAATCATATATAATTTGTTCTCTATTATTGACAGGTTTCTCAGTTGTGTTTTACTCTCACAAGAGGTAATGTTGCATTAGGGTTAAGGGCATGAACTCTGAATTAGACTGTCTTAGGTGAAACCCTGGCTGTGCCCTGTGGCTCAGTTTCCTCCTCTGTACAAAAGGGATGATAATAGTACCTAGCTCATCGAGTTGAGAGGACTTAAGAAGTCTATGCATGTTAAGTGAGTAGAACAGTATCTGGCAAATAGAATCTATTAAGTAAATGCTAGCTATTCAATGTAAGGAAGTAATAAATCTGTTGCTTTCGAACTATTTCATTATGGAGCCTGCTTTCACCTATCTTAAGGTAACCTCTCTGTGTGATGTCAAGGTTTGTAAAACATGTTTTAAATTGTGGGAAGTCATAAAACCTGGCTAGTGTCAGAGATAGTAATCATTCATAAGATGTACTGCTTATTAGACGCTTTGGATAGAATATAATTTACAATAAACTTATAGCATTCTAAAAATATATTTTCTAGTTTAAAATTAAGCCTCTATTATTAAACACCCTAAAAACCTCAAAGAATCTACTAATGTCTAAAGTGTTTGCTTTAGAATTGCCATATTTTTACTACAGCTGTTCATGAATTTAAATCAACAAAATGTGCTTATGAGAGCTTCTAAATGTAAATGTAACACCAAGTATTGTTTATATTTGTTAACAGATTTAAATTACAAAAATGAAGAAGAAATCGTGGGGCTAATCACTGACATTTTTTGGATTGACCTTTTTTTTCATTTCTCCTCTCTACAATTTGGAATTACATAATTTATTTCTGTTCTTCTGGCTCTTAATTTTTAATGTTATGAAACTTAAAGTCTAAAATACTATCACTATAAGAGAAAAAAGAGAAAACAAAAATAATAAAACAGCATGACTATTTCTACCTTCTTTTAAAACAATGAAAGGGGCTTGGAATGATGGTCTTCAAACATTCTTGTTAGAATATTACCTAAAATAATTTTGAAAAACTACTTTGGGTAAATGGATGTTAATTAGACTTACTGTGCTAATCATTTTGCAATGCATACATTATTCGAATCATTATGTGGTACACCTGACACTAATATAATGCTATATGTCAATTATATCTCAAAAAAAAAATCAGTGTGAAAGAACTAGTATGTAACTCATATATTTGTCATTGTATTTTTAAATATTTGCAATAAATGTAATTACCAAAACATTGCAAATTTTGAAATCTTAAAATATGAATTTTATTGCTTGGAATTTAAACATCACAATGATTTCATACTCATAGTCATTCATTTAACAAAGCTAACAAACTCTTGTTCAAAAATAGGAAATTTTACATCATTCTTTTTTTGTCCTTGTGTTTTTACTCTACTTCTCTCATCTTTTTTTTTTTATTAATGAACTCTACTTTTATAGAGTTTCACATTTACAGAAAAATTGGGCAAAAATTGCAGGAAGTTCCATTTGGCCCCTCACATCCCTCCCAGCCAGTGTCCCCTATTAGTAACACCCTACATTAGTGCAGTGCATTGGTCACAATGATGAGCCAATACTGACACGTTCTTATTAACTAAAATCCGTGATTTACATTAGGATTCACTCCTTGAGTTGCACACACTATGGGTTTTGACAAATGTATAATCATACGAGATCAGATCATTACATTTGTGAACACATTCTAGAAAAAGTGCTACATACCTCATTGCTGAATATCACTAAGGTCACCTTCGAAGTACTCCCCTTGGGAAGCTATGCACCCATGCCAGCACCTAATCCACCCTGCAAAGCAATTTCGGAACTCTTTTTCTGGAATGGCCATCAGAGCTGTCATCACGTATTACCCTTGATGTCCTGAATGTCATCAAAATGTCTTCCTTTCAATATTTCCTTTATATTCAGGTAAAGAAAGATGTCACTGGGGGGTAGATCAAGTGAGTAGGGAGGGTGTTCCAATGCTGTTATTTGTTTACTGGCTAAAAACCCTCACAAAAAGTGCCAAGTGAGCTGGTGTGTTGTTGTGATGCCAGAGTCATGAATTATTGGAGAAAAGTTCAGGGGTTTTCATCTAAGTTTTTCTTGCAGCCTTTTCAGCACTTCTAAATAGTAAACTTGGTTAACTCTTGTCCAGTTGGTACAAATTCATAATGATTAATTCCTCTGATATCAAAAAAGGTTAGCAACATCGTTGCAACAAGTTTGCAAACTTAATTGTCACACCTCGTATGTTTCTACATTACAGTATCATATATAATAGTTTCAATGCCTTAAAAATATCCTGTCCTCCATCTATTCATCATTCCCCCTCTGCTCCCAAGCCTTTGGCCACCACTGATCATTTTAGGGTCGCCATAGCTTTGCCTTTTCCAAAATGTCATACAGTTGAAATCATACATGTATTCAGATTGGCTTCTTTCACTTAGCAATATTCATATAAGTTTATTCTATGTCTTTTCATGGTATGATAGCTTGTTTCTTTTTATCACAGAATAATATTCTATTGTGTGGATGCACCACAGTTTGTTTATCCACTTATTGAAGGACATCTTGGTGGCTTCGAATATTTGGCAATCATGCAACAGGCATGCAGGTTTTTATGTGGATTTAAGTTTTCAACTCATTTGAGTAAATACCAACGAGCACAATTGCTGTATTATATTGGAAGAGCATGTTTACCTTTGTAAAAAACTGTCATACTATATTTCAAAGTGTTAGAATTATTTTGCATTCCCACTAACAATGAATGAGAGTTTCTGTTGCTCTATATTCTTGCCAGCATTTGATGTTATAAATGTTTTTGAATTTTTGCCATTCTGATAAGTCTGTAGTGATAACTTATTGTTTTAATTTGCAATTTCCTAGTGACATATGATGTAGAACCCCTTTCTGTATGCTACTTGACATCTGTATACCTTCTTTGGTGATGTGTCTGTTCAGATCTTTTGACTTCTCATCAGATTTTCTAATCTTGAGATTTTTAAATTGTTTTTCTTATTGTTGAGTTTTAAAATTCTTTGTATATTTAGATATCAGGCCTTTATCAGATATGTGTTTTGCAAATACTGTCTCCCAGGCTGTGGCTCGTCTTTTTATTATCTTAATAGTACCTTCCATAGAGCAGAAGTTTTTAATTTAAAATAAATTAAACTTATTAATTTTTTCTTTCATGGATTGTGCTTTTGGTGTTGCATGTAAAACGTCATAGCCGAAGTCAAGGTCACCTAGGTTTTGTTTTTTTCTGTTATTTTCTAGGAGTTTTATGCTTTATATTTAGGTTTATGATCTACTTTGAGTTTATTTTTGTGAA